GGCTCTAGAATGTTCTAGACTTGGTCATTTTCAGACCATTGAGCCGTTAAAAATATCCCGTTTTCCCAACTCACTATACTAGTTGATTGATAGGTTTCCCTACTATAGCAATCACATAACCAGGGTATTTTTCATGGCTCAATTCACAGGACACGTTGGTAACCGAACCTTCGGACATCGGACATCCCACCACGATGACACCACAACCCCCCGTCCTGCTGTGGGGTCAAGAGGCCAGCAGGAAGCTTTGCGCCGTTCCAGCAGCGGGTTGAACGTTACCCAGTTATAAGTTGGTTTAGATTCGCCCCAGTAACTATAGTTATAAGTACCATAAACCATAGTTATTGGAGTTATAAACCATAGTTCAAAAGCCCCAGTAACTAGTTCGTTATTTGCGTACCATAAACCAGTTCGTGAAATTGGAGTTATGTGAACCCCAACTTTTCACGCTATCTTGGGGGCCTCACATTGTAGCTGTTTCAGGCTTCTTTTCTTGGTTTCACATCCCGGTTCGATGCCACATACTGGGATCATCCTGGGATCTCCCAAGGCTTCGTCTCAAAATAGAGTATCCCCCATATGAAAAATGCTTCGTCAATACTTTTCCCTACTAAAATGATCATAAATTGGAGATATACCCCATTTTCAGACAAACCCAAATGGTTGGTTATATATATAATTATATATAACTACAATTATATATACATATTATATAATTATAATTATAATTATATATAATTATATATATATGTATCTGTATATGTATATTCCATCATATCCCCATTGTATCCGCATGAATCCCATTTGTTATCCCTATTGTTGATGGTTCATGTCAAATCCCCATTAGATTTTCTCAATCCCAACTCGGATAATAATCATCTCTGGGCAGAATTTAGACATACCTAGACCCCCCAAGAACGTAGAACAATGGGCTAATACACCCTAGGGAAACAAACATAGATGTGGAACATGGATGAACATGGTCCATTTATGGATGAATTACTGAAACAGAAACTGGCAATTCGCCACATCTATGTCAACGTTTGTCCCAGGGTGCCCATTACGACCTGGGACTGATAAACCCTTTGGCTACAAACGGATCTAGGTGTGTATATTTACCATCCCAAAGTGAGATGTGTTTAATTATTGTTTTCCCCAAGATGTTCCATTCAACAAAATTCTCAAATCAATTTGACCCATTGCTTGCTGGATAAATTCAACTGTTTGATGGTTAAATCCAAATTTCCGGATTTGTATATAAATATATATAATTAATATACTGTATGTATAGATAGATTCAGTTAGATAGATAGGTAGGTGATGGATAGATACAGATAAACCCTAGATTTGGATACAAAAACCCATCTTTAGACTGATGTTTAGATCATGTTGAATCCCAATTGGGTTCAATCCCCATGGTTTGCTGGGTCTCATTTGTTTACCGGGAAACATCTCACCGTTGTTTCACGGAATTCCACTGCCCTCACCCCTGGCATCTTTTTCTTCGCCAGCCAGGGTCTGGCGCTTGGTGTTGAGGAAGTTGGTGTGAACCCCCACAAAAGATGGACAACTTAAAACATGTAATTATGCAAATAGCGTATGTAATGTATGTAAATGTCATCAAATGTCTATATTGTGATAATACATGGTACCCCAACTCTTATTCTGGATTGGTACTGCGTCCAACAAATGACACATTTAAGACCACGAACGAGTACGGGAATGTACAAATCATGAGATATTCATGGCAGTGCAACCAATGGAATTCATACGTTATCGACACTTTTGTGGATGCGTTCAAAAAGCCAGGCAGGGTCGAAATCAACATAGTCTTGGAATGTCTTGGAATGTTTTTCTCCCATAGTAAATCATTGTCCAAATTCGCACCATGCCTTCATAAATAAAGCTATCTGTAGTATGTCACGTGTTGTAGGACATTTGCCAGTTCATCATCTAAAACATCACTATACAGACTATACAGTACATATATCTATACTAATTATACATATTCCAAGCCCATGAGGTTTACAATTTTCGGTTAACGGTTAACATCTCTTGAAGATCCGGCCTAAATGGTGCATTCTTGACCTGAGGATCGCAGATCACCAGGATCCGCCAGGTAGATTAGATAGTCGGATAGACAAACAAAGCATGACAAATATATCTACCCGGCCTGGTAATTTAATATGGTTAATATATGGTCAATATATGGTTAACATATGGTAATGACTAACATAGCTATTGAAAATGGCCATAGAAATAGTGGATTTAGCCAGCTATAAAATGGTGATTTTCAATAGCTATGTTAGTTTACCAGAGGATACTTGATTTCCTCACGGCTCTTTATTCTTTAGTTAAGATTAGTTAAGTACTTCAGAAACCTCTCCAGCCCTGCTGGACCCACAGCTGCAGCAATTTCTGATAGTTTTTGTTGCAGGGTTCACTCCACTCATATGGGCAGGGCGGACCATTTGAGTCAGGGCTCGGCAAAAAAACACACCTCGACCATCGAACCAAAAGTGTCCAACCCGATTCATCAACATGGGTATGGATCAATACCTATTAATACCATTTTTAGTGGGATGAACATCCATTTACCAACTATTTTGATGTTCACCCCGGGTACAAGGTTTTGACACACTGCCACATGATCTTTTGAAAAAAAAACTGAACGATTCTTTGAATCATGTTGGATGAATCATGTTTCTATGTGCCAGGTGACGGTCTCTAGATTTTATTCTATGTCAGCGTCTCCTCTGCGACGACTTGGCGCCGATCTCTCTGGCCCACTGGACGATGGCGAGCCCAGGCCTCTATGGGCACCGGACCCGAAGACTATGCCAGATAGAATGCTAGATACAATGTCTAATGTCAGATAGAATGTCAGAACAAAATCAGTTCAAACGCACATTCTATGTCAGATGGAATGCCAAATAAGATGTCAGATAGATTGTCAGAATGTACATGAAATGTCAATATATATATATATATCCAGTATAATTGCAGATATAATGTCAGTGGGTGGGGATCACTCAAAGAAAGTAATTTTACAGGTTAAATCAGGCTCTTCACCTCCAAATAGCGAGATCACCGAGCATTTCATGTGCCTCTACCGGCTGACTCATCCCCATGTCGGGGGTGATCAGAGGCCAGAGGAGGACCCCCTGGCTTGCAGGCACCGATCCTTCAAGATGTCTAAACAGCTGATTTTTCAATAGGCTGCCAGCTGCTCAGCAATCGCCGGACTTTGAAGTCGTTGCTGTTCACCTTGGTATCTGGCCATGAACTTCTGAAGAGATTTGTTCAATGGCCTGCCAAGTTGTTTGAATGAAGGTGCAGGGAAACAAGAGGTTGATGATGGTTGGTTTGGATGTGCAGTCTCAAAACACGTAAGTTAATGATAGCCATAATTAATTAATGAAACTGAGTCCAGATGCCGGTCGTGAGGCTCGATGTCCTCGCAGAGCGATCAACTGGAAAGAAAGTGTTTGCCTTTGTCGCTGGGATGAGTTTCTCCCTTACATATCCTTATATCAACCCCATCTTTGGACTGGATAGTTAACCCAAACGTATTTGTGTTTAAATTTGCATCCACATTTCTGTGGTTAGGGGTTATAAAGGCAATACCATGCCCAAGTTTTTTGGGACGACGACAAACGCTCAGGGGATATCGACCAACGTTTTCACAAGAAACCCGCCTGAAACCAGGGTTTATGACCTGTGTTTTTGGGGCGTGACCGTGACCTCCATTTTGAAGGATCAAACATCAGAATCCTATGTCTATGTACTATAATTACTATATTATTCATTATGTAATCAGGCTGGGTTGAGCCATCCTTTTAGGCGTTGTCTTCCCCCCAGCCCGCCCTGCCAAGGCTGGGGTGAAAATGCCTTCCATTGCAGAGGAAAAGAAAGGACGAAATCGATATCTAATGGCAGTTGGGTGGGCATTGGTTTGTAGAGCTTATCTATAATACTATTACCATCTGGCAATTTAACATAGCTATGGAAAACCCATTATAAATGGAGGTTTTAATGGGAACATCATCTGTAAATGGGCCATTTTCCATAGCTATGTTAAATAACCAGAGAGTAAATCAGAAAAATCAGCGGAGCGTTTTACGGATGACACCCAAGTGTGATTGCTCATGAAGGGTCCATCTTAGGATATCGAATCTCTTTCTAGGAAAACAAATGGTGGCATCTCCACATCATTCGGAGCCTGCGTGGCGCTGTGCAAAGTTCTTGGGCGCCTGTCGTGTGGATGATCTGTTCGGATTTCTCGAGTTGACTGCCGCAGATGATCCCAGATTTATAGCCAGATTCTGGGCAAAACCGGGGAAAACCATGCTGTCTGCATCCTGATGTACTGGATGCCCGAAGATCATAGATGGTTTCCCAGTGCTTTGTATATGTAAACATGATTATATATGGGCATATATATAGGACTATACATATGTATAATACATTATGTATATATTTCTTTAAGTGTCATTCAATGGAATATATTATCCACAGTTGCCTGCAATTCAAACAAACGTCCGATATATCAAATATATCCAAGAAACATGGTTTATACCATGGGTTTGTCCAATACTAGGGAACCCCTCAGTCTCATTCCATCCACTGGTTCGTCATCATGTTCCTGATGTTCAACTGAAAGTCTCTTTATAGTGATTGGTTGATAGGGCTTCCCCGGATTGTGATATTCCCCATTGTTTCCGGTATTAGAATAATTGTATAATTCCCTATACCCATCAACCAACCAGGGTTTTGCACATCTGGGTATACCCCATGTTCCAACAAACCCAAATCATATAGTCATATTGAGTTGGCTTCATATATCCCACTATAAACCGCATGTTTTCCTGGTGTTTGATTAATAAACATAATAATGATACATATTGCAGTAAATTGTTCATAAGCATGGATAAGCAACAAAGAAATGAGAGAAAAAATGGGTTGTTTGTTTTTATATCATAAACTTTGTATATCTCATATCAGTTTGTCGCTTTTTGGTCGCTCACTGGCTGACCGAGTTCGACACCCAAAAAGGACGTCGCCTCGCGGCGTTTCACCACGCGCTTGCGTCCACCGTTCACATAGGCCTCTGGCCGTTCGGTTCACGTGGCCGGTTCAGGTGGCCTGGAAGATCCTATCTATAGTTCACCCACTTATACCCTCTGGTTATTTAACATAGCCATGGTATAGATGGCCCATAGAAATAGATGGTTTACCTATTAAAAATGGTGATTTTCCATGGCTATGTAACAAATAACCAGATGGTAAATGGGATAATGTCAACTCCGGATGAATAAACTACCCGTCTGAAAAATCTGAGTTCGCCAGTTGAGGTTACTATTCCCAACTGAATGGAAAAATAAAAAATGTTCCAAACCACCAACTAGAATGGGAGAATGCCAACTCCGGATGAATAAACCATATGGTTTACAAAAATTCTGGGGGTACCCTCATAGTCACAATATGATTCATAAATGGTACCCCCCCAATTAAACAGCTGTTTGGGGTTTATTCATTTAGGGTTGACATTAACCCCACGGTTCACGGGGACTTGGATTCTTGGGATCCTCCAAGTAGTACTGGGGTATGTCTGGGGTACCCTCTGGTTGTGACTAACAGTTCGCCATGGTTAAGCCATGGCCCATAGAAATAGATGGTTTACCGGTTTACCGTTCTTAGAAATGGTGGATCTTTCCATGGCGAACTGTAACAAATTTCCAGAGGGTATATGTTTTTCCCCCAAGCATTGGAAGTCCATGTTAGACTTCGATTTTGTGTCACAGCTTCGGTTTGGGCGCTTGGAACTCTTGGAACTAAACACCGGGAACCCAGGAGAATTCCTCTGAGATTCAATGGATCTAACCTGGGCATAGAACAGCGCCATGAAACAGCAAGAACCAAGCTATCTTCCAGCTATGAAGGTCACCTGTTTGGCCGCACTCGTCCCTTGCCCTGGGCGCACCCAGAGCTCATTGCAGATGCCTTGAGCCTTGCTCCAAGCCGCCTGCGAAACGGCTGACGTTGCCATCGTGGATCGGAATTCAACGATAGGACATATATGGCTCTGGATCAATACCTATGAAAATACCATTTTTAGGGGAATGAACATCCATAAATCCCAGCTATTTTGATGTGAACAGAAGAGGTACTATTGGTTTTGACACACTGCCATATCAACATATTGAGTAGACTATTATACTATTCACGTTTCATGTCGTTGACAATGGAAAAGAACAAAAACACACATGAAACCACTTAGCAGGTTTTGGGCTGGACAGTTCAACAACGGCAACCCTGCGAAGTCGCTGCGAAGAACGATCTCAGCAACCAACCATGACTGGGGGGTGCTGAGTGCATCCCAAAGCAGGGTCATGTGGTTAAAAGATGTTTAAACAATAGTAAACCCCCCATTTCTGATGGTTTATACCACCCATTTATGGTGAATTTGGGCATTGGTTTATTGAAATTGTTTTAACCACATCAAAACCCCATAAATCACCGTCATAAAGCCTGGGGATGGTCCATTGGTTGACCTGCACCCCAAACAAAAACTGCTCAGTTTGCTGCTCCCGACTTTGCTTTGACTTCTAGACGGATGTATAAAGTTGTATATATATATATACAATTATATATATACATATAATAGGTAGTAAACCTCCGCATCGCGCAAAAAATGTTTGGTGGGATGAACTAAATGATTGTTAAAACCCATCGAATCCCAAACATTTATGGATTGGTTTAATATTCAAACTCTTATTTTTTTGGGATTAAATGGACATCCCAGGATATTTCTTAAACCCATGGGGATCCCATAACGGATGATGATGATGACTAATTGGTGGTATACCTACCCCCCTGAAAAATATGAGTTCGTCAGATTGGATCATCATCCCAGCTATTGAGGGAAAATAAAAATGTTCCAAACCACCAACCAGATGATGATGATGATGAGATGATGATGATGATGATGATGATGATGACGACGACGACATCCAATCAGCACCTGTGGCGACGAAGCCCTCCGCATCAGCCTGACGAGTTGTGAACCAGTGAGGTTCTCGAATTGTCTTGGTGCTCAGGACTTGAAAGCCACCTACTTCAGTATATTTTAAGCCGTTAAATGCAATAAACAGTTTGTTAAATGCAATAAATAGTTCTAAAACCGGAAAACAACTGTGAATTCGGATATACCACTATAACCAGGATATATTAGCGATTATTAGCGTAATCTGATTCAATATGGATGGACACTATTGGGTGTCATGAAGGTAAAGCCTATAAAAAACCATCCAAATTTAAGGTTTGTGACATTGGATGCAGCACGTTTAACTGGGATGATGATGTAAACTGTTATAAAATGACCGCCCAAAAGGTTAGTTCCTGGGAGGCTTTGTCACACTAAAATGATTTTAAATCTACAAAACCGCCGTATCTCCATTTCAAAGACCTGGCGAAGTATATAGTTTTTAGGCAACGCGGATACAACATAGATACCCAGCTTTGAACAGAAAATCATGTTGCAAAACTCCAACCTGAAAGGTTGATCCTTGGCGATTCAGTCAAAGCCTTGCCGTCAAAGCCTGGTATCTTGGTGACCAAAATGCTTGCTAAATGGATGTTTATCCCCCAAGTAAAACAGCTATCCATCCCAGATCACGATCAAACTTTGACCTTCTGTCGATTTGACCTCCAACTCCGAAGAATCTGACAGCTAAGCCAAGGAACACTGCAGTATCCCATGGGAATTTGTGGTTGAAACCCCAAACGATTCCATGACTACCCGGGTCTACGGCGTTCCACCCACTGGTGAGCTTCCCGACAAAGTTCGAAGCTCTTGCCATGCACGGATACCAGCCTACAGGATCAAATCGATGAGATGTTGAGACTGTTGATCCTCTTTTAGCACAAAAAATCAGTGGGTCAAATCACACTATAATATATATATATATGTAATACACATATATATATATAAATATGTAATATATATATATATGGCATATAAAAAGTCCCAAGAAATGACATTACTGTGGCCATGTTGGCCACCAAAGACACCCTATCGACATCCCCACCAGTTGTCACCTCAAGGCCCTCGACCCTCAAGCAGGGCGTTTTCTGCCTGGGATATGCCAGGGGATGCTGACGGGGGCTGTTTCTTATGTTTTTTTTTGGTATCATACGTACACAAATAAACATATCATCATATGTGTATGTCTATATATATATATATGTATATATGTATATGTATATGTATATGTACAGAGGTGCTCCCAGACCCCTAGTCACGTAGTGGGTTTTCCAAGATTTGGTTTTGGAACACATGGTTCATATAGAGATACCGTTGTAATCTATAATATTAATACTAATATTAATACTAATATTAGTATTAATATATATATATATTAATATATTAATATATATATATATGGTCAGAGACATCTATGCAGCATGAATAATGTACAAATAAATTATAAGTATATATATATATAATTATATATATTATGGATATTGAGTACAAAGGAAAATCATCAACTGTCGCCGTCAGAATTTGAGACGTGAGTGCATGTGAATGATTTTTTTTGATGGCCACATGAGATGTCTGCTTCCGCGTCTTTTTCTGCTTTCACTCATGGTTTCGTACATGTGTTCCATGTTTATACTTGGACCGTCATGTCTTAAGGGCGGCGTACTTAACGCGGTTAGACCCTCCCCCTCATGAGCATCCAGTCCGAGAGCTTTGTTTCTGATTGATTTTTTCTAAGAGAAAGAACAGTTTCGGACTCCATTTGGATGTGGGAGGGGCTCAAGGCACCTTAAGTACGCCGTACTTAGTGACATGTCATTTTTCTGTGGGAGGGGCTCAAGGCACCTTAAGTACGCCGTACTTAGTGACATGTCATTTTTCTGTGGGAGGGGCTCAAGGCACCTTAAGTACGCCGTACTTAGTGACATGTCATTTTTCTGTGGGAGGGGCTCAAGGCACCTTAAGTACGCCGTACTTAGTGACATGTCATTTTTCTGTGGGCGGGACTCAAGGCATCTTAAGTACGCCGTACTTAGTGACATGTCATTTTTCTGTGGGCGGGACTCAAGGCATCTTAAGTACGCCGTACTTAGTGACATGTCATTTTTCTGTGGGCGGGACTCAAGGCATCTTAAGTACGCCATACTTAGTGACATGTCATTTTTTTGTGGGCGGGACTCAAGGCATCTTAAGTACGCCTCTACTTGACTTCATATCTAATTTCCAGAAACCCCCTATGTGATCATCATAATGGCTATGAAGCTTGGAGCAGCCCCGATGTATGTATATAAATTATATATATGTGTAATTATATATATACATGTATATATATACACTATACATGGTTGATTGTGGTTGTTAACCTTTGCAATCAATTATGACATCTTGAGAAACGAACCCATCTGGATAGATCTGGATAGGTCTGGATATGTGGTCAACTGACTTCCACATCCATGTTCTGTGCATGTTCCAAGCAAAGAAGAGAGAAACAGAAATCATTGGTTATTAAACGACCAATAAGGGATATGTGTATAATATATATATATATATCATGCTATAGAATTATGGAGGCACGTGGCAGAACGTGCAGAGTTTCCTCGAAATCGAGCCCGTGAGTTTCAAATGTTGCAGGCTACGTGTAGTCCTTGGAATCCACCGAAAAGAAGTCGGACTGGAAGATTTCAGACTTCGCTACAACTTCGAACAACTCGTACTACGGCCAGTCTCTGAGGTTTGCCCAGAACAGAATGGTTGCTTCGATGATGATGACAGTGAATTCCAATATATATATATAATGTATTATATGTATTATATGTTTTATATACTATATATATATTATGTATAGTGTATATATTATAAATGTTTTATATATTATAATATACATTATATGTATATATATATATTCTATATTGTATATTCTATATTGTATATTCTGTATTGTATATATTATATTATATTATATTATATTGTATTATATTAAATTATATTATTATATTATATTATATCATATTATATTAGGTTAGAGTATATTATGTTATAGTATATCATATCATATTATATTATATCATATTATGTTAAATTATATATATATATATATATATATTATTATATACATATATTATATGATAAACATATATAATATTATATGTCTATATCATACAAAATATATATATACACACTATATTAATAATATATATAATAATATATATATAATAGTATATATATATATAATAATATGTATATATTATAAATATATATATATATATATATAATTATACAATAATACATATTTATTATAATATGTATTATATATATAATGTATATATAATATATTATATATATATATATACGGCAAATGCCTTCGCGTATATATATATATATTATACATTGTATATAATGAATATATTAATATCGTCATAAAGAAAAAACAACGTTGAACAGATTCACAAGGCCCACTTACCCCAACTGGAGCCCCAGACCGGCAGGGCAGCAGGGCAAAAAACCTCTCATGGCTTCCGACCATCGGCGAGGGACGTTAAATGCGACCATTTTTAGATAGATAAAATATACCCTCTGGTTATGACTAACATAGCCATGGAAAATGGTCCATTTATAGATGGTTTACCTATCAAAAATGGTGATTCCATGGCTATGTTAAATAACCAAAGGGTAACTACAATGATTATACTAATGATTATATCCACTAATAATTAGTAGATCATTTCCATATATTATTACAATGTGAGGCCCCCAAGATAGCGTTCAGTTGGTGAACATAACTCCAATAACTATGGTTTATGGTACTTGTAACTATAGTTACTGGGGCGAATCTAAACCAACTTATAACTGGGGGGCCTCACATTGTAAGTGATATAGCTAATTGGGATTTGAATCTAATATCTAATAACTTCTAATATCTAATATTGTATGTGTTTGTTTCTTCGGAAGGCCTAATATCTAAATCACATGAAATTCAAGTGCAAAAAATCAATGGACAGTATTTAAGGGATGGCTGGGGGTTGCTGGGATGATTATTACTAGTGATTGTGGATCATTCCCGAAAAATCCCTGCGTAAAACGCACCAGTAAGACAATAGTGATAACAAATGACCATATTTGAATTCAACAAAGCGATAACAGTGATAACAATATGGTTATCACTATTATGACCATATAAATTGTGATAACCATATTACAATTCATCCTAGCTGGACATGATGTAATTTGACCAAAAAAATGACCCCAAAACAAAAGGATTTATAATGATTTATATGGATAATTGCTGTGATAATGATGTGTATGGTGGGTTCAATACCACATCTGAGAGGACTGAACCTACCTCTCTTACTTCTACTTGCTGGTTCCACTTATTGATTAGTTCATGCCGGTGAAATAAGTGGATTAATCCTGGCACTAAAACAATAAAACATTAACAGAAGCCAGGGTTATGCCCTCAGGATCCGTGGGATGTTCGCCACCAAGCCTGGAAAAAGAACGTCACTTTGGGCAAAACATGTATATATTTATTAGAATTACTATCGTTATTATTATTGTTATTGTATGTTATTATATGTTATTATTATCAATTATTACTATCATTGTCAATCATTATCAGTTATCAGTTATTGTTATGTATTATTATATAATGTTATTATTATTATTATTAATATTATTAGTATTATTATTATTGTTATTATTACATATTGTTGTAAGGTATCATTTGCAAACGTATATGGACAAAAAGAACACATTGATAAAGGGGAAAAACACCACCTGCAAGGTGGGATTATCCCTCTTTTCTGGGATCTGGTGGTGTATTCTTTATGGGCCCTAGATCACTCCACCAATTAGCGTAGTTTTGTGGAAGTGCTCAAGATCAAACACTTGTTAGTACTTGTTCTTCATTCCTCAGACTCTGATTCTGCAAACACTTTTTTGTGGTCTGCGTCAATAGCTTAGCCCCAAAAAACATCCATTGATCCCATGTCATGTCGTTTTCCCCATTCAACAGGTCCTGTTTTTTGGGACACAAAAGCCGTGCCAGGTGCCTGAGTTCCAACTCGCTGTTTTTGGCCTGGCAGCCATGGATTGGCAGCAATTGGGGACAGAAAAAGGTGAAATCAGCCATTTACCACCCATTTTATGTGGCGTTCATGTAGCCATAATCATAATCTGGTTGGTGGTATACCTACCCCTCTGAAAGATATGATATAGTCAGTTGGGATGATTATTCCCAACTGAATGGAACAATCAAAAATGTTCCAGTCACCACCAACTAGTAATAGTTGGAGCAACCCTGATTGGTTGAACAAATCGACGGGATTTCCCATCATTTCCAGCTGCAAAAAAATCGTGTCGGATTTTCCGGTCCTGCAATTTGTACCATAAAAAAGCAGCAGATGTGGACACGCTAAATGCACGTACATATGTGTATATATATAATTGTATATAATATATAATATATAATAGCCATCTATGTATACAGTGACATGTATCTAATACATGACAATGATTAGCCACTTTAAATCGATCATCCAAAATCAACAAGACCATTCCAGACACTGAATATGTAGAGAGGCAACTGCTGCGGCCGATAGCTGCTGATACTCCATAAGAGGAATAACACCAAATTTCAATGGGTGTTTCCTACAATGTGAGGCCCCCGTTCGATAGCGTTCAGTTGGTTTATAACTCCAATTTCACTATGGTTTATGGTACTTATAACGAACTAGTTACTGGGGTTTATAAACCAACAAACATCACTGGGGGGCCTCACATTGTAATGGTTTGTACCACTCTATCATCCATTTCTAGATCCATGTTCCATTCTAAACCATACAGCTATTGGGGTATCTTAAACCATTCAGCAGCGTTACGTTTGCATAGGTAGTGCGGGTGTTCTTGTTTTTGCATGTGTGCGACGGTCAAAACTCAATTCATGTGGTGAGGTCATGGCATCGCTTCATAAGGCCCCCTATCGCTACACACAGTCCCAGCACCCTTTTCACCAACTAGGCAGAATTTGCTGCTAGAAGAGGAGGATCCAGATGAGGAATCGGATTCTTATTCCCCTTGCGATGGTATCTCCAGGGAAATTCAAACTTTTACTTGATCACCAAGGCTGACGTCGACAGCTTCAGCTAGACACCAGCCGGACTCACTGCAGGTCATCTGACCTCGGAGGCTGCCCTTGGCTTGTGTTGGCTTGTCTTGGCTTGTCTTGCCTGTGCTGCCTTGTTTCCGGCGCCTTTTTTTCTTCACCCCGCCTCCTTTGCAACCTAATACCACGCCAAAATGAATCGGCAAAACCCTGACCAAATGAACCCTTTAAGAACTAACCCAGTAAGAACTTGAGGGTACCCTTGTTCATACTTCCCATATTTTTCCACCTATAGCACAAGTTGTATAGTTTCAAGTGACCATGTGGGGTACTCCCTAATTTCATGGATTTCAGGTATCGCTCTGGGTATCGAGGGGTATCGCTTCGGGCATCGCTACGGGGACCAGAAAATGTGTGATCTCAGGTGTATGTTTCAAGTGACACGAAATTCTGACAAGCTCCATGTTGCAATTCTACTCCTGGACAGTGGCTTTGGAGAAGCGTCCGTGACCGCACAAGGATGCTTTTTCAACATATCTCAGCACGGTCACTATCTGAATCAACATCATCACCATCACCATCATCATCAGCATCATCACCATCATCAAGCTCATGATGCGTTATGAATTAGTTTCTTGCATACCTTATAGATCAACATACCCCAATATATCAATATTGTTTAATGTAACTATCTCATATATACTTGACGACAGGCCATCTTGCAACTACCCAGGAAGACCAGCCCACTGCGACTGCTCCAGTGTCGCACTCTGACATCAAAAGATTGGAAAGTCATGCGCCCAACAGGAAGCTTCAATCATAAACAAAGTCTAAAAAGAGGTATCGCTACATAAGGCCCCCTATCGCTACACACAGTAAATCACATATTTTGAGTAGTGATGGCGGATCGTAATTGAAGCCTTCATAGCGTCTTTTGACCCTTGCTCATGTGTTTAATGATGAATGTGAGTACACATAAAGCCTTTATGCTAACGCCAATGATTGGGGTTTTGCAAGACAACAAAATATCATCCTGTACAGAATGTAATGAATGTAATGCTTAATCATCATTGTCCCCAACAACATTGTATTTTGTGTTGGGTAAGTTGGGTATGCTCCATGTTCAAACACACCCAAATCATCTTGAGTTTCAACATGTGAACCAACTACTGTATATTCCATGGTATCTCGAATTCGTCACCATTCTGGTTGCTTGTATACCCTAACAAATCGAAAATACGGTAGGTCTGTCTCTGATCGGTATACATAAACCGACAAACATTTCACTGGGGGAGCACCAGATTGGTTTTTATCTTGTAATTGTGTTATCCAATGAAATCCCATGAAATCTCAGCAAAAATCCTACACCCATATGGCTATGGGTCAAAATTCTGTACAATACCCTCTGGTAAACATACAAAAAGCTATTGAAAATGGCCATAGAAATAGTGGATTTTCCCAGCTATAAAATGGTGGATCTTTCCATAGTTATGTGACAGTTTACCAGAGGGTAAATCCTACACCCATATGGCTATGGGTCAAAATTCTGTACAATAATTGGCAATAATTTGATGCTTCACCGAGCCAGGGCCCGAAAAAAAACGCATCCCGATGCTTCCAGTGACCTGTTCCACCGCCTTTCGCAATCCTTCCAGAACCTTGCACCAAGATGATGGGGTCTGGGGGACCAAAATGCATGGTGGATATGGAGATTTTTCATAGGATATTGGTGGAATATATGATATACTGGGATATTTCAGAAGGGATATTTACTGGAATATGAATTTAGTGGTGTCAATGGGATATTAAATGGGATATTTAATGGGATTCTTGATGAGAGTTTCGTGGGATTCTTGATGGGGTTTAATGGGTTTTCCAATTGGATGTTCATGGGATTCTAATGGGTTTTTAATTGGATGTTTTAGTAGCTGGCTGAATCATAATAATTCACAAACCTGAAAATAGCTGAAACTTGTGGCCAGCTAAGGGCATGATTCCCCTTACTAAATCATCCAGATACTGTATGTTATCATGGGATTACAGTAATGATATTGGGAATGCCCCATGATTACAATTGATTACATGGTTATTGCCTAAATTATTGTATAAGTTACTGTGAAAAGTCGGGTGGTGGACACATCTACTTCACTGCGCTGCGCTTGAAATGATCCTCAAAGGACCACCAAATGTATCAAAATGGCCATAGAATTCGCTTGGGCAAATGATGATCAAGAAACAGAATTAAGGCTAGTTTCAGACATGCATCTAAAATCATCTAAATATAGTACCCCAAATGATTATGGTATAGTATAGTATGGCCATCCAGCATGTGTCCCAGTGGGGCTCCTTCATTAAAAAGGTAGCAAAACAGCAAAACAGCAAAACCAAACAAAAAATCGACAAGTTCTCACGCGATACCACTGCAGAAGGTCATCGCTGCCGACATGGCGTTTTTCACAGCATCTGACTGGGTCAAGCTTTCGCACTGGAACCCAGCACAAGATCCGGTGCTTCGAACGAGGTCTGATAGAAATGAGTGTGGTTGCATCTAATGTCTGCCCAACAAGTGGACTACATGGTAGTTGTTTTGGGACCAAATATGTGGCAGTGACACACCGGTTTCATGGGCGCTATAACCACTTTGGAGGTCAAACCATGGGATTGAATGGAGCGTTGTTACAATTATCTTGAGACAACCAGTCCACCGAGATAAGGAATATACACACAAAAAAAAACAGGGTGTCATCCTCCGATTGTACACTAAATTATATAGACATCCCATCCATTCATTTACAGTACCAATAATCATATGGCAGCCTTCACAACATATCCCATCTTGATGGTTACCTTCCGCAAAGAGTTGGACAACTGCCCTGTGGTGACTCTTGACCCCCCCCCAGTGATGCTTGTCGGTTATAAATCCAATTAACTGTATAACTATTAAAGATATATTGGCCGAAGACCCTAGTTACTCTAGTTGTACTAGGTACCAATCAACTTAGCTGGTTGGTGGTATACCTACCCCTCTGAAAAATGATGGAGTTCGTCAGTTGGGATGATGACATTCCCAATATGATGGGAAAAATAATCCAAATGTCCCAAACCACCAACCAGTTAGCTAAGTATGATGCACCTCCTGCAGTTGCTCATCGTTGATTTCTCACTTTGTCCCAATTTTTCGTGTTTTCCCCGGTCACCCTTGTGGGATTCCGAATCATAGCAAGCCCAAGCCCAAGCGCCCCATCTATGGCGTTACCCTCCAGACAAACAACATCAAACAAGGAAAATCACCATGTTTAGGAGAAAATCAACTATCAATGGCCATTTTCAATAGCAAACTGGCCATGTTTACCAGAGGTTATCATCCCTGAACGTTCTCTGATTGAGTCTCTAAATTAAGACATTGATATGGTCGGTTGAATCCTCATTATTATCTGTCATCTGGCTGGGAAACTCCGATTCTAGTTTCTGAACGTTTCCTCCCGGATACTTAAGGAGGATCATCCCAAGAATCGAAAGTGGTGAAAGTAACCATAGTTATAACATGCCCAGACCCAGTTTTAGACATGGGAAAACCAATATCAATGGATTGGTTTAGTTGGAAAAAAATACTTCGGAAAGCCCCATGATTTTTGTGAAAATTTCGATGGAAAATCGCTGGTTTCCGGTGAAGATTTTCCCCCTAAAGTCGGGCACGAATCCGATCAGAGCTCTGGGATAAACCTGTTAGTCAGTTCTCAGGGGTCCGAAGCCCTGCCTCCGGCCCAGACGAAGCTTCAGGCGCCTTGAGCGATGGGACTATGAAAGATGATCTGCTCGTTGGTGGTGTACCTAGCCCTCTGAAAAATATGTTTTCGTCAGTTGGGATGATTGTTCCCAATATATGGAAAAGTAAAACATGTTCCAAACCACCAACCAGTCAACTGGATGGCTATAATGGTTTGTATATCTTTGTATGCCATGGTAGAGCTCCAAATGTCAGGTTCATCTGTTGCTCCTAGCTAGAGGTGCCCGGCCGGCTGGGTTGGGGATATTCTAAGCCCATCAAATGGTTGCTCAGTATTGGGTGTCGCACAACACTGGGAGTCAAAATAAATGATGGCACATGGCCATACATGGTCATGATACCTTGCAACATGGTCCATACCCTGGGGTAAACAAACATAGATACAGAAAACTCATGTTGTTGTCTTTTGGGGAAAAAAGACACCTATGATTCACCGATGTATGTATATAATTGTATATACATACACATTGTGGATGTTCCATATATATATATATAATACCGTGCTTTTTACCCGAGGACAGCGGTCACATGAGGGTCATGACAACCCTAGACCAACGACCAGATGCAGATCATCGACAGGTGAGGCATTTTATCCCAAGTGTCTCACACATTTCCATGTGCCATGTTGGTTTGCCGTTTCCTCCTCTTGCGGTTCCAAACTTGAATGTTCACTTGGTTCTTTCTCCTAAATGAGCTCAATGTCATTGAGTTGCTTGTACAACCAAATTTGACTTGCTTGTACAGCAAAACGTAGCTGGTCCTGCAACAACTCGCCACTAAGTTGCTTACCCCGAAAATAACAAACTAACTTTGGCTAGATGATCTTAATATCGTATGTTGGAAAAGCAATAGGATCCACCATCCCCAAAAGTAAACCATTGTTATGGCTGGTGTAAACCATCAATCAATATAGGTCGTTTATGACATTGGTTTGCTGACATTCACCATATTCAGTGTCGTCAGAAAGGTCGACACTTTCCCACCTCGCCACAGATCTCTCGCAAGACCTGTGGAACTCAGGGATCTTCGGTATCCAGATGTATCCAGCGACGAGAGTGATGGAATGACATTTTTGTTGCTGCCTATCTATTCCATGAAAATTTAAAGTTTGAATCATCTGTGATATCATTTTGACAGATTCAATCCGATGTCTGAGAATGTCAGAGCCAATCTAAGCTGAAACATTGGACATTTTGAGGAAGGTCATATTTTGAATGGCTTTTCCAATTCGGAAAACACGGCAATCGGCGATACCAAAACTGGACCTATGGTATATGGTATGCCCTGACATCAGGATAGGATCAACTAATGGAACTGTTTTAAGATCACCTTCACAACACCTGGGGGAAAAAAAACCCTCTGGTTATGACTAACAGTTTGCCATGGAAAATCCCCAAAATAAATGGAGGTTAGAGTGGGAAAATCATCCATTTCTATGGGCCATCTATACCATGGCTATGTTTTAAATAACCAGAGGGTACTCAAAAAATCTCAACAGTGTCCCAATATTTGTCAAGTATGGACCCTTCTGTTCCCGCAAGAAAACGTTGCTTGCAGATCACTATTCAGTCAATTGAAGATGGCAGCTGAAAAACGCAAAATAGACCTAAGTGAAACATTCACTCCATGGAATGCTTTTGGACATTTTGGTCGGTTGATATCGAAGATGAAATGGAATTAGATAAGATGAGGAAGCGTGCATTTCATCATTGGTATGTTGCTGATATACTTACCAATTCATAATTGGTATATTTCTGACATATCAAACCAGTGTCCTTTCCGCAAAAAATTGGAACTGTTTGCAAATATATTGCCATCATGACATGCACTGCAGCTGGCTCATTGTCCATCTTCTTCAGGTATATTTTCCCTAGCAAACATTGCTATTTGGGGCTATTCCTTTTTGGGCAAAACCGACATCATATAAAGTTGGATATACCTCCTATATCCCACTATATCCTGAGTGTACATGGGTATATGATCCCCCTTTTGTGTTGGCTGAGATCTGGGTAAATTACACTGAAACCTGGGGCCATTGGGGATGACATTTCTTAGGGAAAAAAAAAACGTCCTGACGAAACAGTGCGGTCATTATATGTCATCCATATTTATACACAGAGACATACATGATCAATGTATAATATGTTACATAGTCATTTATACATGTATAATCATATATATATATATAATCACATAATATAATTGTTCAACATCAACATATATATATATATATTTGTATACAAAACAAATAACCATGGGATAATGGAGATTTCCTGAGATTTTGGGGTCTCTTTCATGGGACTTGTATGGAGGGCATGGGGATTGCCCCAATTTCAGGCGTTTTCAACGCGCCTGAAGTCTCTGCTTGGCCAAAAGCAGGTCCTGCCGTCTTTGATCAACACACATGGGGATTCACCAAAGGTTGACTCAATGGAAAATTGAATAGAATATATATTGGTATATTGGTCAACCAAAAAAAACATTTCATCCCAATCATATACTCAATTGGAATGTGTTGACATATGAAACACATAAGCATAACACATATGAAAATTGGGATGACATATGAACGACATCGGAAAAAACAAGTCGGAATTAGCTTGTCAGGTGATCCACCCATCGGCTCAAGATTCACAGCCCTGTTATGAAAACTGTCGGGTTGCCTATACTGAATCGAACTGCTGAGAAAAAAAAATCACCACGGAAAGTGCAAGGAAGAATTCTAGTCCCATCTCAGCCGTCAAACATGTTGCATTTGGTGCAATTATCGAAGTTTGCCTACTTTTTGATCCATCTTGATTTAAACGTACCAGTTCGCCAAGTTTGCCACTTCATGACTCATCCTTTGAATCCCAAGTACGGTATAGGTTGGGATGGCCGTGGCATGTTATAAACGTATCGGATTGGTTCACTCATCTCTGGGGTTGTAGCCGGCTATGAAAGTATGAACACTGTAAGAAGAACCACCTGCTGCCCCACTAAGGCCGCCTCACAGTAACCGGTCATGATTCGGAACCTCAAGTCGTTGTTTTTTTTTTTAAATGGTTTTTTTTATTTATGTAATGGTGTTTATGTTTTTATATAGTTATCTTATGTTGCCAACAATGCATCTTGAACTTGGACAATCTGACAATCATGGGAGATTCGGGAGGATATGATTGAATGACGGCCTTGTTTGGAACTGGAGGTACTCCGAGTCAGCTTGGTGCTGATGCAAGTGTAACTGTTCATGTAGTTTGTGATTAACCAATCTAATCCCACGAAAAAATGAACTTCTATAGTCTAAGTCTATATGGGCTACAACTGCTATAACATCCAGAATAAGGACCCTCAGAGACAGGTATGATCCCCTTGGACAGAGCCAGACATAGGGATGTGCAACTGCGTAGAAAAGAAAGGTATAGGAACACCTGGGAATTGACGAAATATCATCGAACCATGGAATCGCTTTTCTATCTTTTTGGGGACCCTTCTAATCCCTTCCTCCTAATACTAAACGTCCCCCTAATACTAAAAACAGGCATCCATCTCCAATTTCCGAAAATTTCAGTTTGGCCAATTTGACTTTTAATTGATCCCCTTTAAAAAACAATTCAAAAATCAACCTACCATTTGTGGGTTCTCCCCCCTAATACTAAAAACTAATTCATCCCGGGGTGTTTAGTATTAGGGGGGCTAGTTTTTAGTATTAAGGGTTTTAATTTAGTATTAGGGGTAAGCTTCGAACTGCCATTTTTGGCAATATTTTAATTGCGTTATATAAGGAAATTTAATTGATTTTGAGATCGGAAAAAATAGTTTTTAGTATTAAGGGTTTTAATTTAGTATTAGGGGTAAGCTTCGAACTGCCATTTTTGGCAATATTTTAATTGCGTTATATAAGGAAATTTAATTGATTTTGAGATCGGAAAAAATAGTTTTTAGTATTAAGGGTTTTAATTTAGTATTAGGGGTAAGCTTCGAACTGCCATTTTTGGCAATATTTTAATTGCGTTATATAAAGAAATTTAATTGATCTTGAGATCGGAAAAAATAGTTTTTAGTATTAAGGGTTTTAATTTAGTATTAGGGGTAAGCTTCGAACTGCCATTTTTGGCAATATTTTAATTGCGTTATATAAGGAAATTTAATTGATTTTGAGATCGGAAAAAATAGTTTTTAGTATTAAGGGTTTTAATTTAGTATTAGGGGTAAGCTTCGAACTGCCATTTTTGGCAATATTTTAATTGCGTTATATAAGGAAATTTAATTAATTAATTAACATGACTTCGATTTGGTTCCCTAATAATAAATACCCCCCTAATACTAAAAACTACCTGCCGTGTTTTGTATTAGGGGGGGGGGTTTAGTATTAGGAGGAAGGGATTATCATGTTTGTACGCTCTGGTTGGTTATACCGTTATACCCCATCCAAAAAAGCAACTCCATTATCCCCATGGGAATCCTGTAAGTTGAAACCCCCGGTACCCCGGTACCAAAGGGACAGGGAAGCTCACAAGCGCAATGACCTTCAGGCATGACGTAACTCTGGTTTCTCTGCGTTTCTCTTTCTGGAAAAACAGGAAGCAGCAAATAAAACAACAAATCATTCGGTGACGGGTCAATACTCATGGAATCCCCCCCCGCCTAAGAATGGCATTTATAGATATTGAGCCATAGCCATATTCACCAATCAGTAATCATTTTGATGAAGTTGTTCTTTACTAAGTTCTTCAAATACCTTAAAAATGGGGCCTCCACTAAATCCCGTTATGGAAATGTGCTTAAGCTTACTGCCATCAATGTAGACGGTCTGTCTGAAAAGGGGTGAAGTTCCTGTTATCAGATAGCTGAGTTGGTTTATAAAACTACAAGGAATCGTGGGAAAATCAACTGATTACCCTCTGGTAATTTAACATGGTAATGACTAACATAGCTATTGAACATGGCCCAGTCGAAATAGTTGATTTTCCCATTAAAAATGGTGGATCTTTCCATAGCTTTTTGTATGTTTACCAGAGGGTAACCATCACATTTATATAAGGGTCTTCCCATAATTCTTACGGATACGTCAAGGGGCGGCCCAAATCTTACCACTGCGCGGTAGCGAAGCTTGCCCTGGCCGTTGATCTGTGGTTTGGAAATGAGGCAAATATGGTGGATTTAAACGTAAAAAATCCACAAACTTCAGGGATTGAACCGACATGTCCAAGTCCAATGTGACATTCAATGGATTAGCTTTGTTGAGATAATCTAGCAGTATATATATATATATATGTATAATATATATATATATATCTGTCCCCATCAAACATAGGGGGGTTCCTGCAGAGGTTCCCAAACATCAAGTCTGAAAATCTAATACAGTACTAGTATTGAATCGGGAAATGTTGGTCGTGGATGCTATATGTTTTTTTTTTTAAGTAATATCCATATCCAACCCATATGTAAAACCATTTTGGGATACTTGCACCCAAAAAAAACAAATCAATTGGCCAGAAAGATTCATCACCACCATTTCATCGGGCTACTGGTACTTTTTGTGGACCTTGGACATGACCATTTCATGAATGGTGGGAGACTTTCCTGGCATCGATAGGGACCACCAAACCAAGATAAACCAAGCGCCGGCGCATAGTGACCTAAACGCCGATGTGCCATGTCTTACCCTCTGGTAAATCTTTACATAACGAACTGGAAAGTCCACCCTTTTTAATGGGTAAATCAACGAACTACGTAACTACATGGGCCATTTTCAATAGCGGGGCCTGTTAGTTTACCGGAGGGTACCCTGTAGATCCCTCAATCCCTCGTGGCGTCGGAAATGTGACACACTGTGGTTGTGAAATCCGGCAGTTGGTAACTATGAAACAAACATCCCCAAGGGGCCACCGCTTCCAGCACCTTGGTCCCCCCAAAATCTGTTTAAAAATCATTAAAAATCTGGGTTTGGGATGGCTTTGATCGGAAATCCCTGGTCAAATCCCAGGTCGGCGGTGAAAATGGTTGTTGATTTATATTACCCTCGTCAAATTATTTTTGATATATCTACTATAAACCCAACAGGTTTGGGCGTTCACAACCTTGTAGGTTGATATTGTCCATCAGCATCATCCTATTAACATGGCAATTTCCAATGTCATATCCCATTAAATCCCATTGAATACCCATTGAATGCCAATTAAATACCATTGAATACCGATTCAATACCGACTAAATCCCATCTAAAAAACGTGAAATAACCATTAAATCCTACTAAATAGGAATGAACTCCCATTAAATAACAATGAAATGATCCAACTGTTTACTATGACACAACTTGTTTTGCCCACCTGTCGCAGGTGGCTTTCAATGCCCGGCACGCCCGAGAGGGACCTTGCAGCAGGAGCTCCAGGAGCTCAGGGAGCTCGGCTCAGAGCAACGCATTTAACCAAGTTTTGACCACAGCACATGTATGGTGTATTACATTACATAGTTTATACAATGTGAGGCCCCCCAGTGATGTTTGTTGGTTTGTAAGCCCCAGTAACTAGTTCGTTATAAGTACCATAAACCATAGTTATTGGAGTTATAAATCAACTTAGCTATCTTGGGGGCCTCACATTGTAAGAATGATATATGAATACATTGTATTTTTTTGATATGATGTAATGTATCATATTACATTACATATTAAGATTGTATCAATATTGTAGAGTTTATATTTATATTACAATGATGTATTCATATAAGTGTTTACATATTCATACAATATATGTGTAATTATACATTTGTAGAAGTGATTACATATATCACAGTGTCTATATATATATATACATATAACAAACTGTGCTACATTGCAAATATATATATATATATACTTGGTGGCTCATCCCACTTAGTAAGTGGGTTATAACCCCAGTTACAAATGGGATTTTTGTAGGTTTCATCCACATCAATCACTGGGGTTATAACCCACTTACTAAGTGGGATGAGCCACCAAGTATATATATTATATATATATTATATATATTATATATTATATATATATGTATATTTAATGAAGCCCATTACTTCACTGTATACTTTATTGCCATACTTTTTAAAACGAAACATCCCACGGTCCCACAGTCCAGTGCTTCAGAAACCAAGGAAATCGTCCGGCCATCCGTGTTCGAGTACCCGAGGCTAACTAGTTCTGGATCTTATCATTCGGCAAATCTGAGCTGGTAAGTGGAAAAAAACATGAAATCTGACTGGGGATATTTCATGCATATATATATATATATATACAACTGACTACTTGGGATCCACTCAAAATGTCACAACATGATTGGGGATTCCGAAAATAATCCCATGATGCCATTGGCATCAAATATGAAACTCCCAAGGTGTATAGATTGGAAACCACCAGCCACCAGCCTGGGATCAAGTTTCTCCAGGATGGACGAATCGGGTAGATCAAGAGGTAAAATCAATGAATTCCCACCATGAATCTATAGTACTAGTAGGAGGGAGTAAGCCTGTACGCGGAATCCAAGAAAGAGTTTTAAGATCTCACATATATCTTGGTAAATTACAATATTTCACTAACCTGAAAAGTTCGGCTATGAATGGGGATGATTTCCCTAAAATAAACCATGATTCCAGGCTTCGGGAGAACAGTGAGGTCGTTATAATTTACCCAGATATATAATTCAATGAATTGGTTCAAGGGAAAATCTACAGGAAACCATGGTGTTTACCATCAAATATAGGGGTTTCCGGTAAATTTTCCCGTCATCCAATTCTGTGAATAATTATATATATATAAATATACCATTGAATTTCCAAGGAATTGACCCATCTATGTCTGACCCGAAGTTTTCCAGCCAACAACATTCATCACGAGTTTTTCAGCTACATGGCCAATGAAGCCACCAATTAACATGGAGGCACCATTGTTCTGACTGAATCAATGTACAGTAGTCAGAACAATGCATACATTTCATCAACTAGCTATGCCCAAGAGTTTGGTTACCATCCTGTGAAATTACTACTCCCCAGTTATTAATCCTGGGTGAGCATTGCCATTGATATTTGAGGTTATTAATCCCCTTCCAGTTGGTTTGCAAGATATTTTGAAGTTTCTTTTGCATCTACATGTAATTGTAATTCATTACAAGTAGTAGGCTCATCTTCCTATTTGCTCCCCGGTGTTGGCTGTATCCCTATACTACGCATGATACCCCCACATACAGAGTCCTTACGCAAGGTTTCCCAATTTATTAGTCGTTTATAAACCCATCTAACTTTAGGTATATCCAACAAAGCAGCCAATTTAACAACCAACTTTGCCAACTATTCCGCCTTGTACACAAGGTTTCCCCAAGTATATATATATATATATATATGTACATGTATGTATATGTAAATATATATATAAATGTATATGTATATGTATATATATATAATTATATATACATATATACGAGCAGTGTTCAAAACCCTCTGTCATCCCTGGTTGATAGGGCACAATCATCCCCAATGTATTGGATAGTATAACCCCCTGTATTGCCAAATAACAAGAAGTTTGGTCACTGCTCGTTTAGGACATCCCTCCATGAAATGCAGAATACAAGCATAGAGGATATGCAAATCCCTGCTGCATAAATGGATTGGACAACTTACCCAAATTTTGAACACTGTAAATATCTACAATATATGTGTATAATTACAATTTATCATTTATATAACAACCTTACTGTGACCAATGGGTTACACAATGGCACATATTACATACAGTATGTATGTATGATATTATATATGTATAATTGTATAGTATAGTAATGATTGATACATATATACTAATAATAAATAACAGTACATATTATAATAATGATTGTAAATAATACATAATCATTATTCATATATATATATATATATATTAAATATGTATATTTCTGAAGCATCAGCCCCTGCCTGGGAGATGCGCGACAGCGCCTCAGTCGTACATCATATCTATACGTACATAAAGAATACATATAGACACAGATATTTACATACATGTTTATATATATATGTACATACATATAATATATACATATATACATGTACATACATATATATATATATATATATATGTATATATATATATATATAGAGAGAGCCCTATCTATATATATACATGATTAATCTATGTGTACCTAATTACCTAATTCTATAATATTGTATACATAAATATAAATATAAATATATATATATACCAAACATGAAAACATATGATAAGAATTTGACAGTACTTGTTTGCTAACTTCAACAACCTGGCTTAGGATAGGTATTCCTGCAAGCCGTGGGCCCAGTCATTTGGACGGTACAGATTTGAAACATTTTGAAACCGCCCACCATCCATAGTTGAATCATGTTGAATCAACATGGAGGTTCCTAAGTCATAGGTCTACCTCTGAATCATCTGTTTATAGATGGATTTTCCCCACTCTAAACCATCCTTGGGTACCCCCCATTTTCGGAAGCTCCTGCATCTTTTGTCCGATGGAAAAATCCCTCCCTGGAGGCGACAAGTGGTTTTCAAAATTCGATGGTCCTCCATTTTTTCTGTGGGCTTCCGGCCTGGATGTGGGATATACCCAGCTTTTTTTGTACGGAAAAATCTTGTTACTACTATGACTACTATCGGGTAATCGGGTATATCCCAATTTTGGTTGTGTAAAATGTTAAACCAAAACCCCATAGAGTTTTTTGTGGGATCCCACATGTTTGCTCTTGACTATTCAGTTACTAAGCTAGGTCCATGGAAAACACAACAAGCCTAGGAGTGAAATCTTTAGTCCCTATTCTTTTCAGTATTCCCGAAAGATATAGCTGCGTCATATTTCACACACCTGAAATGTTGGCCTATATTGGGACAGTTGCCCCAATCCTTTCACCATCATTGCAGTGAGTTTGGGACACACGATACCAAGCGATTTGCCAGGGGACTTCTTGCACGAAGCCGCATGCTTTTTGGCATCGCCCTGAGGAAGCATCACAAAGAGGGCTTTATGTCAACCCCGAATAAACCCTGATTGATGAGGGATGAGCCCCATGGTTTCCCTCACGATCCGAAAAACCGACATCAAATCACCATGATCAAGGCAAATCCAAATCACTGACATGGCTTTGTCTATTTTTATAGCGTGCCATAGCGTACTATTATCTATTAGTGTACCCCCAGATAGAAATACCAGGTGATCATAACCTATCATAATTTTCCTCATGAAATTGCCATTTGGGGATACGTGTCATGGCTTTCCCAAGTGAACTTGCTGAGCGATCCTCATTAGATCCTACCTTACTATCATCAAACTTACGAAATTCATCAACCAAAATCAACCATCCAAAAGCAACCTTTACTCATCATCAACCTTTACGAAAATCATCAACCAAGATCTGAGCTGTGGTATAATCAACCTTTCCGTATATTGAAACAATCATGGTTTTAAACAGGTCCAGGATTGGCACACCTTTATTTGTTCCGTCGCAGGATTAAATGCGCAACGGAATTGGTACTTCGCAGCCACCATTACCCTCTGGTAAACAGCCACATAACTATGGAACCTCACCATTTTCTAGCTGGGTAAATCAACTATTTCGACTGGGCCATTTTCAATGTCGCAAACTGTTATAGTCGTTACCAGAGTGTAGTACTTTTACCATAACCCATAGGATCCATGTATGCTATATATGGTAACATGGATCCCATCAATATACCCCCAATGTTAGCATATATACCATACATGGATCCTATGGGTAAGGGTTTCCTGTAAAAAATATCACATAAACCAATCCAAATGAAACCAGGCGTTTCTTCGCCGCGCCTTGGGATGGCTTAGGATCCATCGCTCCAGCGCCCGACGCTGGGACTCCGAGAACTGCCGCCTCAGGAAGGGACGACGGCGAGTCGCCGGAAACGAATAGGAAGATGAAGCCATATTGTTGTCATAAGAATAGGAAACTACTTGGTGGCTCATCCCACTTAGTAAGTGGGTCATAACCCCAGTTATAAATGGGATAAGTAGGGTTAATCCACATCAATCACTGGGGTGAACTAACCCACTTACGATTCGTGGGATGAGCCACCAAGTAGTATGAAACTATAGGAAGTTATATTGTTATGTATTGTATGTATTGTTATTATAACTGGAGGTGTCCAAATTGATCATATTGGTATAAATTGGAACTTATATGATCTAAAATGATCACTAATGGTTTGGGAAGGGCTTTGTGTGTGTTTTCCCCCAAATCATCCAAAAATTAGACCATTTTAGTATCGAAACATGTTTGGGAGCTAGATCACGAGTTTCCCATGGCTAGTGCACTCGAGGGTGGCCGTGAAAACTATGTGGGTGGTTTTAAGCATCAAACATGTGGTATCGCTCAAGCCATTGGGTTGTCAACCGACCTAAAAAAAAGGTAGGTTTTCTTGAAAGATCTGACACCATCGATGGTGGGGTGAATGGAGATCAACCAGGAGTTATTTACGTCATGGCAATTCTAAGCATCCAGAATGGCGGAAGATTCACTTCGATGCCCATCACTTGCTTCGTATATTCACAGCATTTGTGGCTATAAATTCAGCTGTGAAGCAGAAATCCTCACCAACAATGGTCCGTTGACTCAAGTTCTCATAGTCTGTCTCCGCCGTCCCCATGGTCGTCTTCCCTCACATTCCCTCACATTCCCATGTTGTTTCCTCCACTATGTCCATTAACATCGACATTATATCCTCATCTGAATATCCCCACTCTATATTCCCAGAATTGTCCCAAATGATTCTCCACTCTTTGTTGGCTAAATGCTGCATATATGGAATATTTGCCAACATTGGGGACATTTCTTGGATTGGCGTTGGTACATATTCCATAGGCATGGAGCATATGGATTGGTCCACACTCTATATTCCCACGATATTTCTCATTTATAAATCATCTATACCCTGCAGTAAACTAACACAGCAATGGAACATACTCATTTATAAATGATTTACTTTATAAAGATTGTGATTTTCGATAGCTATCGTAAATTGCCAAAGGATAAATCCCACATTTATCCCACTATATACATTATATCCAATGATCTTCCCATAAAATCCTATTCACTTCCACTATAGATGCCAGTAATTCCAGTATATTCGCATTCATTCACCGACCCGAGCTTTCCTAAGTCTAGGGGGGGTACCCCGCACCTAATTCTCATCCATTGATTTATATATTTCAGGATGTTCATAAAAATTGTTCCATGAAATCAATCATCCATAACTTATGGATACTTATGGTCCATAGTCCATTTTCATAGGATCTTCCACAAAAAATCGTAGACTGGTTGGTGGTTTCAACCTACCCCTCCGAAAAATATGAGTTCGTCAGTTGGGATTATTGTTCCAAACCACCAAGCAGTCAAAAATCATAAAAAAAATCCATGTGGTTTTGACCCTCTGAACAATATGAAAGTCAGTTGGGATTAGTGTTCCAAACCACCAACCAGCATTTATAGATTGGGATTTTCCCATCAAAAAACCATCCATTTGTTGGGTATCCGGAACCCCCCAGATCATCCCATCCATAACCGCCATCACCCAGCTGCAGCAGCTTCTGCCGCTCGCTGCGGCTGCACTGCTCCAGCAGACGCCAAAGCTCTGCTTGTGGCACGCGGACGCCGCGGACCCCGCGGCCACGGGCACTGCCACGGCGCGCAAGCGCCTGAGGTCGGCCCTGGAATGGAGGTCGGCCCAAGGTGATTTTACCGGCAAAAAATGGTCATTTTTGATGGGACTCAATGGATGAATGGGATTTATATACAGTATATAACTTGATTGAACATTCCCAGGCTTTCTGGTCATCAAAAAGATAGATATTAGTCATACACCATTGCTTATTTTGGTACCTGAAGGTAAAAAAAATGGTTTGTATGGACCTTAATCATTTGTTGGGTGGATATGTCTATGGATGACTGAAAATTAGTGAAAATAAACCAAATTGAAACTGGGGTGGCACATATTGTACTGTCAATATGTCAATGACACATTCTGACCGTGTCATTTCAGGGCATATTTTGGTGGAGATTCACCAGTTTCCTGGGAACTTGGATGAGCCGGAGACTAGTTCAATGGCAACTAAGTATAGCTAAGTTTGTTATACAGCTATGCACCAAGCTCCTAAGGGTTCTGAAGGTGTTTTTCAAGGGATTCTGGATCCTTTAGCCAGGCAGGCTTCCCCATCCCAGCAAGCCTCCTCTCTGGCTGTGTCCTTGGCAGAATCACCTGTGAACAGAATCGCTCGGCAAAACCCCATGGTGATTTACTGAGATGTTTCATGGGATTTCATTAGCTAAGTGGCTTGCGAACCCCAAGAACTCCCAAAAGTCTTGGCTTCATGGGTATAGATATTTGATATATCTATCTATTTAACGGCAACTATAGTTATAATGGTTTATTATAAGTCAACTTGCAACTGGGAGGCACCACCTGTGGGGCTCAGTTGGGTGTCAATTGATTGCGGGATTGGTTGACGGCATTGCGTGACACAGACCGATCTGTAAGACAATCAGCCAATCTATGCATAGAGGGTCTTATGGTAAAATGATGTCACATACCCTCTGGTAATGACTAACATAGCTATTGAAAATGAACATTTATAGTGGATTTTCCCATTGAAAATGATGATTTTCCATAGCTATGTTAGTTTACCAGAGGGTACCTCAAATAGGAATAGGCATGTTGGGTACAGTATCACCAAAATCCAACGTCTTCGACTCCAGGTTGGTCCGCGAGTCCGCCCTTTCCGCCCTTTCCGCCCTTTTTGGTGATCGCGTTCCGATTTTCAAATCGATCCCCTGGTTGACAAGGAAAACCAATGGTTAGGTGATCAGCCGGCTTTTATCGTACATTTTGTCACGTACAATATGAATCCATTTCTTTGTGGTAAACACACACACACGCATTTTGTCACTGAAATCCTCATGTCTGTTTGTTAGATCCCGTGTTGTTTGGTTCAATCTGTTCAGTGACAGATTCTAAGGCTCCATCCTTGTTGTTCAAATCTCTGTATTCATTGCATCCATTTTTTCCCCAGGGTTACCTTGACATTGGAACGCATTGTTTCTTACCCAATCGAGAAAGGTTCACCAAGTGTGGTCAATCTTATATACCGTCTCAATGCTGTATCAGAAATAATTTTGTGGTATAAACATGTATTAAACATGTATAAACCATCCAAAATTAGAGTTTTCTTATTGGTTCTTGTTGGGCCCACCATGGCCCACCAGCCGTTGTTCAAATGATGCTGTCTCCGACTCAGTCTCCGACTCTTCATCTGGGTCGATTCTGTGCCTATGCATCAAAGGTCACATCTTTGAGGCCCAGATGATCCAATTTCACCACTCCTCAAGGGTCCAAATTTATCCAATTTCACCAGCATGTATTACTAGCCCAACAAATGGGGATGGGTCAAAACCCTGGCACCTAGTGAGCATCAAAATAGCTGGTAAATGGATGTTCATCCCACTAAAAATGGTATGTATAGGTATTGATCCATACCCAAATGACCCAAACAATCCCAAACATGAAGGACAACCATGATGATGAGATTCGAATTCTGTGGTGATGGTAATAAATATGCCCTTTTTCTGATGATTCCTGTTCATCCCCATTTTCTTTAGCTAAACTCCTGTGGTTCTTTTGGTTTGCCGATGGCCGCATTCTTGTTGCCTATGAACCCACCAATTGTTGGCTGAAGTGGCTGATTCCAGGTTCTTTACCACCAAACTAAGAACGGTGGCTTGCCCAATGACCAGCAAACACTCGCAAATCTAGAATTAGCTCTTCATCTCTCAGCCGTTTTCAGATTGAAGCATGAAAATAGAAAATGCCAGAAGCCACATGAAGGAATTTGGGGTGGCTCAAAGCAGACCATTCAGTGGATCGATAAATAGGGCACATCTGCAGGACATCATAGGTATTTTTTACCATTCGAAATGTTGGTTTCCTGTAAGTGTTCCCTCTTTGCTGTGCAGCTTGGCAAAAGTCGCTTAGGCCTTTTGTGTAAAATGTGGCCCATCAAATGGATTCACCCATGCATATCTAAATAGATGTATATATATATACATATATGGGCCACAGTCAATATTTGGTATATAGCTCCATTAACCTAAATTTTGGCTGTAGCTCATATATATATATATATTATATTTACATAACTTTCAAATTAAAGTGCATTGCTAGTTTTTGAGCCAACTATGTTGGAGTACTGTCAGGTGTGAAGCATCCAGTAACGGTGAGAATCCCATTCGCACAAGATTCCAATGCCACTCACTTCGTCCTCAATCATGTCATGGGAATGGAAGTCCCCAAATTCTTTGGTTGTTAGACCAGATTAGTTGAGAAGGTAAGAGACAGACATTCAACCGACATTCCTTTTTCTGCCCAATCTATCTATGACATTCTATGACAATGTTATCTGTTGCATTGCAGCCCCTTTATTAGCGGAAAAAACAAAACGTGCAAAACTGTGTTTAAGAAAAAACAACTTTTGGGGCGGTTTAGTCACCATATGTCATAGTAAAATCGCAATTGACAAAGTTGAATCACCATGTGTGATTTCAAGCATGTTTCCTGATCGAATCATTATTTATGTATATATATATACACATATATTATGAATGTTAACATCACAGTTTTATACATATGTTACTGTTTGTTACTGTTTAATTGTGAATTCATGGGTCAGGGTCAACCGTCTTCTATTTATATCAGTTTCTCGTAAAATATGGTACCTCAAAAAATATTATGGTTTATCATCACTTTCCCAGGTTAAAATTTGTTATTTGGGGGTACACCCCATTTTCAAACTCATATATTCCCATTAAAAGATCTATGAAAAGTATGAAATGACCATGAAATCAGTGATATGTTCCCATGAAATTACCATGAAATCCCATTAAATCACCATTCTTCATCCTTGTTTCACCGGTCGCTTAAAGAGGGGCACTGGCCTCGCTGGAAGCGCCGCTTCGGCAAGTTCGACATCGACCTAGTTTGATTGGTCTAATGACTCGGATTTATTTCGGCGTACCGCTTTCTTCATTTTTGAGAAGCCTCCATCTGTCAATGAAAAAAACAGATGTTTTTTTTTTCAAATCTATAAGTATATATAAATGTTAAAAACGAGCAGAAATTTGGATAGATTTTGTTATGTTTTTCTCAGGTAGATTCTGGGCGAATTAGTTTACGAAATCACATCGCGGCAGCCCGGCATCTGGATCCCTATCCCAAAATGTTTGAAGTCAGCTCGGAAAACTACTTCAATGTTTTGTAGCTTTACTTTCTGTTTCTTGAAAAATGCCTTCAATTAATTCATTAGTATAAGACAGCATTATATTTTTGATTTTTTCTTGTGAATTTTGTTATATTTCCAACATCGAATTCATCCATGTCCTTTTCCTACCAGTTGATGAATAGAGTGTTTAATGATGTTTAATGTGGTAAACCGTTTATGCCACAAACCTACCATGACTGGGGATGGTTTATACCATCCATTTATCGTGATTTTGTTGATGGCTTATTATTGAGTTTAACCGCCCTTCACCAATAGGTGAGGTATGATAAGTGGCATAGATGGCATAGATATCTGTTGCCATAATATTCTGGTAAAGCCAAAATAAACCATCCAGAATTTTGGTTTCTGATTGGGCCAAATCCTGAGATGATGTCTAGTCTGACCCTCAGTCATGGTTGATTACTGGGATGGTGACTATAGCATTGGGTGGATCCCAGATTAATGTGGTACACATTGGGATCCATCCAACAATCAACCTACCATTTTTTGTTCAGGATGGTTTGTGACCAGCATGGTGAAGACTGTAGGTTTATGAAACTCAATCATACCATATATTTATACCATATTGGACAATGATTTCATATGATTTCTGATTTCTGGTAAAATTGGGAGGTGCTTTAGATTTTTGGATCCCAAAAAATCTCACCGTTGGATGGTTGTTGCCAAGACACTCCACAAAGATGAACTCCAGGGATCATCAGAACCCGTTCCCCCCTCCAAACCCTCCTGGTGCGGCCATGGTGAGGTGAGAATATCATCGACGGAAACAGAATTAAGAATAGGTATTAGACAAATCATTTGATCGAGCTGCAGAGATCTCTATGTATGTGTATGTATATATATATTCTATGTATATGACGGTTTGTCAAACACCACTAGATCCACACTAATTATCAACCATTCAAAACTTATGTTAACTATTTTTGGCAAATGGTCATGTGTGTATATATATACCCTCTGGTAATTTAACATCGCTATTGAAAATGGCCCACTTACAGTTGATTTGCCTACTAAAGATGGTGATTTTCCATAGCTATGTAACAGTTTACCAGAGGGTGTATATATATATATATCAACATATATAATCTATCAACATTTTAATCAACATATATAATCTATCAACATTATAATCAGCATCTATAATCTATCAACATTATAATCAACATATATAATCTATCAACATTATAATCAACATATGTAATCTATCAACATTATAATCAACATATATAATCTATCAACATTATAATCAACATATAAAATCTATCAACATTATAATCAACATATATATTCTATCAACATTATAATCAACATATATGATCTATCAACATTATAATCAACATATATAATATATCAACATTAAAATCATCATATATAATCTATCAACATTATAATTAACATATGTAATCTATCAACATTATAATCAACATATATAATCTATCAACACTATAATCAACATATATAATCTATCAACATTATAATCAACATATATAATCTATCAACACGATAATCAACATATATAATCTATCAACATTATAATCAACATACATAATCTATCAGCATTATAAGCAACATATATGATCTATCAACATTTTAATCAACATATATAATCTATCAACACTATAATCAACATATATAATCTATCAAAATTACAATCAACATGTATAATCTATCAACATTATAATCAACATATATAATCTATCAACATTATAATCAACATATATAATCTATCAACATTAAAATCAACATATATAATCTATCAACATTATAATTAACATATGTAATCTATCAACATTATAATCAACATATATAATCTATCAACACTATAATCAACATATATAATCTATCAACATTATAATCAACATATATAATCTATCAACACGATAATCAACATATATAATCTATCAACATTATAATCAACATACATAATCTATCAGCATTATAAGCAACATATATGATCTATCAACATTTTAATCAACATATATAATCTATCAACACTATAATCAACATATATAATCTATCAAAATTACAATCAACATGTATAATCTATCAACATTATAATCAACATATATAATCTATCAACATTATAATCAACATATATAATCTATCAACATGTTTACTGCTTGTGGATATGTTTTCAATCAACGTTTTAGTTGCTGCGCCGCTTCGCTGTCCTCCATGCCCGCGCCCGCGGATCTGGCAGTGGTGGCGCACCTGGAGGATCAACGTGGGGATATGCTGGGTTTATGATGGGATATCATAGGACATATTGATGGGATATAATCTATAGTATACATATATATATATACACATATATATATATACACATATATATATATACACATATATATATATGCATGGATGGATGGATGGATGGATGGATGGATGGATGGATGGATGGATAGGTAGATATACATAGCCAACTTGATATGATTTGGTGCCTGAAAAGAAAGTTTTTTTCAACGATAACGATGATCGACCCATCGATCCCAGCAGCTTGGTTTCCCCAATAGCTGTGGCGGTAAACTAACATAGATACAATGTGAGGCCCCCGGCCACGATAGCGTGAAAAGTTGGTGAACATAACTCCAATTTCACTATGGTTTATGGTACTTATAACAACTAGCTACTGGGGTGAATCTAAACCAACAAACATCAACTGGGGGGCCTCACATTGTATGGAAAGCCAATGGGGAAACCCGCAGGAAAATGATCTACAACTGGTGGGTTTTCCATATCAATTTACGAGTTTTCAGTGGATTTTTATGGATTTTTGCTGGGCAGGAACCCCTTGGATGTTGCATATGAAAATTGACGAAAAACCTCGCAGTGCCCGCAAAAACGCAAACTGCATGTACCCGGGATGAAAGAAATTGTGTTTTTGGTCAACCCCTTTGGGACTAAACCATATTCTCAGCAGGCATCGGGATCCGGGATACCCCCTCAGCAGGATCTGCAATGCGAAGCATTGGACGATCCAACAACTATTTGGACAAATATAAAGCATCAGACACAGCGATCTCCATTATCAACACCAGCAACCGAATGATGATCTTACACAAACTCTTGATGAATGGGATGTTTGCCATTTGTGACAGGCATCATTTTGGGTAAATAATAGATTTAATAAAACATGCATCATGTATATCATTAATGAATGGAGCAAAAGCATGGAAACGCATGGGAACAATAACGGTACTAGAATTGTTTTCGGTTGGGGAATCTGCTCATGTCCTGGTGAAGATCTCCATGATACAAAAAATGGCCACATGGTTTTCATGAGGAACAACAAGGCTGAGCCGAAGACCACGCCGATTTTCTATGTGATTTTTAGAGAAGCAACATGCATCATCAAACCATTGACCTACGATATCCTAGCATGCACCGACCAGTTTACCAATAGAATTTAAGTTGGATATATCATGATATATCCAGTGAGATGTTTCAACTCCCAGTTTTTAAACGTGTTTTTTCTCCATTTTCCAACCATTCACCAGTTGTATTTTTTCATAACCAGTCACCACGACTCACCAGTTGCCACTTGGGGATGGGTATAAAAGTACACCGCTCCCCAAAACAAATGTGTTGTTTTTTATCAAAAAACTGGTTTTATGGATAAAACTTAGATCATGAGTATATCATAAGTATATCATTATACATATATATATATATATCAATATTAAATCAAACTCCGCTTGGTGTACGCACAAAGGGAACTACCCAAGGCAAGGGAGCTTGGCCATAGCCCTGGCTAAATCGCCCAACGTCCCAGGGATCCGACATCAAAGTGGTTCGGAAGCTCGGATTGAACAGTGACCATGGCAAAGACCTGAGTCAGATGTGGTGGAAATCGTTCAAAGGCCACTCGGATGGCCTGTGAGGTACCGACAGTGTGGTGAACAACAGACGACGAGATGAAAATGATGTTTGGATATCCTGATTTCCAATGGATGGTTGGGTGTTTTTGCTGGGATTTATATATATATATATGTATCTATATATATATTGCATATATATATGATTATAATTGATTCTATATTAATATGTGTGTTCATGAACTTGTGATCGACTCAAAATCCTCATCCCTCCAATTTCACAAGTTTCGACACTGCAATGTTTGAAAAAGTGCCATCTTAAGGCTGGTAAGGATTTATGATGGATTTATGGAAAGGTATATGCCATGATTTTGCCACTAAAATATGGTAATCCAAGAAACTGCGGAGCCAAGAAATAGGTGGGTTTAAGTTTAAGCAACAAAATGGGGATGAGATAGGTTCGAGAAGGAGACTATGGGACTTAGCTAAGAAACATATAGAAAACATGGGTGCTACAGCCTACAATTTTCTCAGGGTATTTGGTTGATATTCATGGTTGAAAACTGAACACTAACACAAAGGTGTCTGCGTACATGTTTACATATGTTTACAACCTACCAAAAAATATCAACTATTTTTGGAACCTGATACAAGCAGGAAAGAATCCCATTCCAAACCAAAAGTAGTCAACCAGTCATCGGGGACTCAAAAGAATACCCTGGGCTTGGCCCAAGATTTGGCCGTGCCCAAGTCATCAACATCTTTATGGCTTTGTTATGATTTGCTTTTGACTGTGTCTGATCCTAAAGATAGTCATTAAGCATCTTTATAGTCATGCTAGACGCTTATGATCTTTATAGTCTTAAAGTCATTAATGG